GGGAGTGGCAGACCGGGATGGTGGTCCCCATCTTTAAGAAGGGTGACCTGAGGGTGTGTTCCAACTATAGGGGGATCACACTCCTCAGCCTCCCTGGAAAGGTCTACGCCAAGGTACTGGAGAGGAGGGTCCGATCGATAGTTGAATCTCAGATAGAGGAGGAGCAATGTGGTTTTCGTCCTGGCTGTGGAACTGTGGACCAGCTCTATACCCTTGCAAGGGTGATGGAGGGGGCATGGGAGTTTGCCCAACAAATCCACATGTGCTTTGTGGATTTGGAGAAGGCTTATGACCGTGTCCCCAGGGGCACCCTGTGGGGGACGCTCCAGGAGTATGGGGTGGGTGGCTTTCTGTTAAGGGCCATTCAGTCCCTTTACCAGAGGAGCGTGAGTTTGGTCCGCATAGCCGGTAGTAAGTCGGACCTGTTCCCAGTGAGGGTTGGACTCCGCCAGGGCTGCCCTTTGTCACCGGTTCTGTTCATCACTTTTATGGACAGAATTTCTAGACGCAGCCGTGGTGTGGAGTGTGTCGAGTTTGGTGGCAGGAGAATCTCGTCTCTGCTTTTTGCGGATGATGTGGTCCTCCTAGCTTCATCCAGCTCCGACCTTCAGCTCTTGCTGGGTAGGTTCGCGGCCGAATGTGAAGCGGCTGGGATGAGGATCAGCACCTCCAAATCTGAGACCATGGTTCTCGACCGGAAAAGGGTGGCTTGCCACCTCCGGGTCGGGGGAGAGGTCCTACCTCAAGTGGAGGAGTTTAAGTATCTCGGGGTCTTGTTCATGAGTGAGGGTAGGAGGGATCGGGAGATCGACAGGCGGATTGGTTCGGCGTCTGCAGTGATGCGGACGCTGAGCCGATCTGTCGTGGGGAAGAGGGAGCTGAGCCAGAAAGCCAGGCTCTCGATTTACCGGTCGATCTACGTCCCAATCCTCACCTAAGGTCATGAGCTTTGGGTAATGACCGAAAGAACGAGATCGCGGATACAAGCGGCCGAAATGAGTTTCCTCCGTAGGGTGGCCGGGCTCAGCCTTAGAGATAGGGTGAGGAGCTCGGACATTCGGGAGGGACTCGGAGTAGAACCGCTGCTCCTCCGGATCGAAAGGAGCCAGTTGAGGTGGTTTGGGCATCTGGTCAGGATGCCTCCTGGACGCCTCCCCGGGGAGGTGTTTCGGGCATGTCCTGCCGGCAGAAGGCCCCCGGGTCGACCCAGGACACGTTGGAGAGGTTACATCTCCAATCTGGTCCGGGAACGCCTTGGGGTCCTGCCGGAGGAGCTGGTGGACAAGGCCGGGGAGAGGACGGCCTGGAGCTCCCTAACTGGGATGCTGCCCCCGCGACCCGGACCCGGATAAGCGGAGGAAGACGAAGACTATTTTATTACATTTGTAAGAATATGAAGTCACTGCAGCAACACAAACGTGACTATAAACATGAAAGCTAAAGAAACAACTTTCCTAAAGCTGCTTGTAAACAAAATATGTCATTAAAGTTATTGTCTATCATTGCAGAATATGGCGATGACATCATGGAACTGGTCTTTGGAAAAGTTTTCCCTGAACCAACTCCATTTCTAGATGAGGTAGAGAAGATCTGCATCTCACCAACTCTCTGGTCTCAGTATTCAGACAACGGAGGTCTCCCACTGTTATCCAGGACCAGTTTGAAGCCCACATACTTCCCCTCCCTCATCATCAGGAAACATCAATCCGTATCCTGAGGACAACAGAAGACGGCAGGAGGACAGGAACTCTGAGACCTAGATACCACCAGCACCGGGACACAAAGCACCTGTGTGCACAACGCCTGTTTAACTACTAAAGCCTGTTTATTATATAGTTCTACTTATTTGCTGTGAGGTTAATACTTAGAAAATTTGTATATTAATGTAAACAATAAAAAAAATCACTGATTGTATGCTTTCTTTTAGATGTAATGGTCCAAACTCAGCCTTGTAGACATTTATTGCATCCTGTAGGTAAATACACAGAACAGGCTCAGATCCAGGATGACCCAGCATGCTCTTCTTCCATTCTGGCTGTTAGGGATTTTATCAATAACTCAATGCCTACTGATGTTTTCACCTAACGGTATTTATTTAGAATGCAGGTAAGATTTAACTATATTTGTTAGCAAAGCAGACTGATCTTGGGAATTTCACTGCAGCACTGATGTCCACCTCTCTGTACACATTAGAGAGAATTACCACTTTACAGCTTAACACATTTAATAAAGATATAGGCTACGCATTGCAGACAATAAAAACAAAGTTGTAAGCATTAGAATTATAATGATGACATTAAAGAACACTTGGAGGAATGTTCTTTATTTTTGACTAGAATCTCAAATCTTTAAATTAAAATGTAACTGCTTTTTATCCATTTTCAGCCATTAAGACACCCAATATAAAATAAGACTACTTATAAAATTATTTATAATTATATGTATGTATATAGATAGAGATCTTAATAAAATATATTCTTTTAATGGTGTTTTAATGAGCTGTATCATTTTTTTAAACATTTTTTTACAGAAATAAGCAAGCAGCATTCCTTGTGTGTGTGTGTGTGTGTGTGTGTGTGTGTGTGTGCCTGCTCGCTTGTCCCTCCGTCGGCCGTGACGGGTGTGTGTGAGTGACTACAGACAAATGCATGAGAGAGTTAGCAGCCATGAAACAGCTTGATGAACTACTCTCCCCACGTGTTTTAAAAATGCTAATCTGCTATGCTAAATAATGATTTCTCTATAGAACTACAAAGTCCGACTGGGGGAGGAGAGTACAGGTCTGCACTATGGGGGGGGGGGGGGGGGGGGGCGGAGTTTACAGCTCCTCCTCCAGTTTAAAGAGACAGTACCCCAAAACGGCTCGTTCTCAAGACTCTCCTCAGAACAGGGGTAGATGAGGGTCTGTAGAGCAATAATGAGGAAATCAGACTAAAGAACTGCAGTTCCACTGTATTTAGACCCCAACTGAAGGATTTAGATGTAAAAAGGAATAACTTAAAAGCATGTTATGTCTCCTTTAAGGCACTAAGCGACTTTTTCATGTTTTAAAATAATATCCTTGAGCCAGTATGTCCTAAAATAATCCTTAAAGTTAATGAAATGTAACTCAGACCCCCATCCCCGCTGTGGCCAAAATACAGCATTAGCAACTTCAGAAAAGAAAGAAAGAAAGAAAGAAAGAAAGAAAGAAAGAAAGAAAGAAAGAAAGAAAGAAAGAAAGAAAGAAAGAAAGAAAGAAAGAAAGAAACAAACAAACAAACAAACAAACAAACAAACAAACAAAGAAACAAACAAACAAACAAAGAAACAAACAAAGAAACAAAAAAAGAAAACTATATTTTACAAAGCGTCTCTCAAGATAAAATTAGGACGTGCTTCACAAAAACAAAATACTTTTTAATGATTAAATAAATATGTTCAAAATTACAAAAAATGTGTGATTAAAAAACATAAGGAAAGGGAGAGAGAAAATTAACAAGAAAGAGGGAAATTTGTGGATCCCAGGACAGGCAGGCTAAGTAAGAGCAGAATAAGGAGAGAGTGGTTATGAAGGTCACACTAAAGCCTGTACACGTGTTTTCAGCTGCTTTTTAAAGGAGGCCACTGAGTCCACCGGTCTCAGGCTCAGGGGGAGAGAGTTCCAGAGTCTGGGGGCCACAGCAGCAAATGATCTGTCACCTTTGGTCTTTAGCCTGGTGCTGCACAACCAGTAGACTTTGGTCACTGGACCTCAGGGACCTGCTGGGGGTGTAGGGACTGAGAAGATCACCAATGTAAGATGGTGCTTGTCCATGTAAGGCCCTGTAGACCAGAACCAGGATCTTGAAATGAACCCTGAAGTTGACTGGCAGCACCTTGAGGGGTTCCAGGATTCTAGAAGGAGCTACATCAAGTACAGGCCATTTACCAAAATAATAATAGTAATAATAATAATAATAATAATAATAATAATAATAATAATAATAATAATAATAATAATTAGTTGGATTACACTTTCCATCTTCAGGCTCTATCTAAAATATTATAATACTTATAGCTTTTAAAATCCTAATTATTACAAGGTCACATTTAGTGAATTAACTTTTATATTAGTAATTAAGTTAAAACACAAGATTTAAAGTTCAAAATAAACAAATTAAACATCTGAGTTTAAAAGTCTGAAGCTACAATGTTGCATTTAAAGAGCAAGTCACCCCCAAATAAACTATTTTTTCTGATAAACTATATAAATGCGTGTCTAATCGTGCTGCAGACACGTGTAGCCAATAGTTTTGCACTTTAGTGCATTTTAGTTAAAATTTAAAATTTCTGCCGGAAACTGTCAGTGTTGTACCGTTGTCAGGTAAAAACTCTTCACTGCATTTGAATTTAAATCTGACATCGCCATTGGCTAAGAGGTATACTATGATGTAAACTGGTAGATTATGATGTCACAATGTCGTGAGTGTGTGTATTTGTAGTGGCTCCACCCTCTCCGTCTGCTAGGCAACAGCATTTGTTGCATTTTTCAAACATGAAGTGGGAGTGAAGTACGCTTCTTGTAAGGGGTGACTTGCTCTTTAAAGTCCTATTTTAATGTTACTGTAGATTTTGTTGATTTGAAAATCTACACATCATCCTTTTGATTTTAAGATTAATATTACTACTTCAAAATTACAATTACCAGTATACATTTTAAAGACCTGCTTAGATTCTAAGTTAAAATGAGTTTCAAAATCATTGGAGTAAAGTAACAAGTTGAAGTAACAAAAACTTGAGTTTTAAAGTCAGAAATGTCTTAATAATGAGAAAATTACAAAGACTCAATAGTTACTGATTCTATAATCATGACCTTGAGAACCGTCCATCTGTTTTAAGTTGTGAAAATGGACTTCCATACTTCAGCCCTCCAGCTGCTGGTAGAGCTGAAGTCCCACCCTCACAACAGCAGGGGGCGCCCGTTCGCCACATTACGTCTTGACATCAGCGGCAAAACGTACGGCGCTGAACTTGTGCGTGTGTCGCTCACCATGCCACGACTCTCCGTTCCTGATCCATCTTGTGGAGCGTGCAGATGCTGTCCTCTGTGCTGCAGGAAAGGCCTGTGAGCGGATTTCCATGAGCCGTCAGTCCCGTCTGGTCCTCCGAGGGTCGCTGTGAGGCTGTAGGCGCTCCGCCTGCAGACTGAGCGGAGCTAAAGGTAGGTTAGACGGGAGAACGGATCACCTTCTGGATGTACGTGTCATTGGCTTTGTAGTTGTCCTGTTTGGCGTCCTTTTGTGCAGCCGAGCGGATCCGACGTCGCTTTGTGTAGTTTACCAGGCGTGACATGCAACATATGGCCGCTGGTGTGATGTGGATTCTGGCGGAGCCGCGTTTGGAGCGGCGCCGCGGCGTCACCGTGTCTGGATGTAGGGCAAAAGTTTGAGAAGAGATCAGCGTCCAAGTCCGACAACACCATCGTCTGGTCTGGACGGGGCTTCTGGATCCAAACGGAAATGCATCTACTAGACTTATGATGAAATATAAGTCTGAAAATCACCAACGCCCATCACAGGTTATTGTGTCAAAAACTAAACTGTGTGAGAGTCTGGGTCAGGAAAACAGACTGGTGGTGTGTCTGTGCGCAGGAAGGCTACGTTTTAGAATAAAAATATACAGTAATCCCTCAACAACCGTCTAATGTGGCGTATGACCCACTTTTTTAACTTTACATAAATAAATAAATAATTTAGCTCGGACAAAACTGACTAAAATAACACATTGAAGATCATGGAGGCTATGGTTCTGTCAACATGGCTTATACGATGCACCATGTTCTAAATGCCTTTAAAACGCTGGTTTGAGCTTTTTATTTAATCACACCTCACCTGCACCCAAGACCTTACCGACCATAAGATCTGAAAGGAATAGACTTATTGTTTTTTTTTATTTCACATATGCTTAAGCTAAGCTTCTGTTAAGACGGAATAAAGCTTGGTTTAACAAGCAAGTGCACTTATTTAGTCTTATTGCAATAGTTTTATGAAGATCTAAACATAATTAAATTGGGTTTTATTTAAAAATGATCCATGCAAGTGCAGGGAAACGAAATGTATTTCAGAGCACCATAAAATGTTGATTTTAAGATTTTTTCCTCCTAAATTTAAACTCCACGTGCCTTTAAAATGCGTTTTGGAGAAGTGGCTTAATAAGATGTTTGTTTTAAGAAAAAAAATAGTCTCTTTTAAATTATATTTAAACAAGGGAAACATTTTAAATGCAAAAAGTAAAACAAAAACGAGCAGAAATGAGTAATGGTGCTATGGAGTTTAATGTAAAGCGTCCCATTGTATGGACTTAAACACACAACAACATAATTATAAAACATCTTTACTCGATGCCTCTAACAGGTCATTTATTCAGATTTTGGATTTTTAAATGGCCTAAAAGGCATATCATTAATATAGTTTATCTCTTTATTGATTAAATTTCATAACTTTTAATAAATAATATTGTTGCCATTTAATTTAATATTACTTAATCAAATCGTATCAATTAAAGTCATTTTAGTATATTCTCTAAATAAATGCACAGTCAATGAGTGCAAATGTCAGCAATAAATATATAAACCCTCATTAATTTAGACTAAGCCTTTAGGTCAGGTGAAAGTTTGCGCTGTGGGAACTATTTGACAGAAGGACGAAAGCCAACTTTATTTATTTATTTATTTATTTATTTATTTATTTATTTATTTATTTATTTATTTATTTATTATTGACTTCTTGCCTTAGTGTCTTCCGTTAGTTTCCTGAGCGGGAAACGCGCCATCATCCACCTGTGCGAGATCCCGCAGCAGGAGAACTCACGCATGAATATTTTATGAATCTTTGTCTTTTGATATTTTTTAAACTTCCCGCCCATGTGCGCTATTATGGTCAGAGACATTTAGGGTCCAGGAAGCGGTTTTCATTCACCTCACAACCTGCGCGCGCCGAAGAGGAGGCCTGTGTGGTAATTTATCGTATTCAAAGGGCCTTTGGAAATCAGTCAGGGGACGACATGCATCACTTTATGCGTGGGTGTTGGAGGACACAGCTAGTTGTAAAAAAAATAAAAAAATATTAAATAAGAACCTTGGATAGCTCCTTAAAATAAGGTCACGAAGTTGCGTTATTTCTTAAATGCGCCTAAAGCGCACCGGGCGCGGCCTCCCGTTCGCTTATTTAAATGACGCAAGACCCAACAAGAGGTTTTAAAAGTTAACGTTTTCAAATGGTTTAAGTTTGGTGAAAGCATCTGAAAAGAGCTTAAGTCTTACTCAAAATATAAAGGAATAACAGTTTAAGCATTTATTAAAGATGGATATTCATTGAGTTGAGTGGGGAAATAGCAAAATATCATAGAAATCTAAAATAAACTCCATGAAATGCTAAGTGATTTCAAAACTCGTGACATGATTCAGCCAATAGAATAAAGTTTAATAGAACCCCCCTTCAGTGAGGATTGCCAATTGTTCATTGTATTATTTGTTTGCCAAAATAAAAGTTTTTATTTTAAAATAAAGAAATTATTATGATTATTTTCGTTTTCTTAATGAGAATGAAGTTGCTGTGCTTGTGATTTTCTCATCGTCTCAGGGGTTTCCCCGTTTCAGATAAAGCTCAGGTTTTGTTGAATTCTCGTGACAGATCCGTTTATAAAAGAGCACACTATCAGGGTTTTAGGTGGATTTTCACCAGAGAAGGTAAGCCTTTTTATTATCATTCTATAAAAACTGCCAACAAGCCAGGTATTTTAAAGTAAGCGCATTAGACTCCATAAGCAATGTTGATAAATCGAAAATTGTGTTTTGAAATAAGGCTGAGTTCCGTTTCATCTGAAGAGAAAAGACAGCAGAGCAGCGAGAACTAGAGACATCACAGCACTCAGCTCCCCTCTCCTCTCTTTTCTCCTCTCCTCTGCGCAGATATCGCGAGACTTGCTGCTGCCCGTTGCTTTGCAGCAGACGGAGGGAGAAGGCAGGCAGCATCATGGCGGACAGAGACAGTGGAAGTGAGCAGGGAGGAGCGGCTACGGGCCCAGGCTTCGGCTCCACGCACCTAGCGACGGGAGGGGCGGGCTCGGCTTCCGGGCTCCAGCATGAGACACAAGAGCTGGCGTCGAAGAGGGTTGACATCCAGAACAAACGCTTCTATTTGGACGTAAAGCAGAACGCGAAGGGCCGCTTCTTAAAGATAGCTGAAGTCGGGGCCGGTGGAAACAAGAGCCGCCTGACTCTTTCCATGTCCGTGGCGGTCGAGTTCCGAGACTACTTGGGGGACTTCATCGAACATTATGCCCAGTTGGGTCCGAGTAACCCGGGACTGGTGCAAGACGAACCCAGACGAGCGCTCAAAAGTGAGTTCCTGGTGCGGGAGAATCGGAAATACTACATGGATCTGAAGGAGAACCAGAGGGGACGGTTTCTAAGGATCCGACAGACCGTTAACCGGGGGCCCGGTTTGGGATCCACGCAGGGCCAGACGATCGCGCTGCCTGCCCAGGGACTTATTGAGTTTCGCGACGCTTTGGCTAAACTTATTGACGATTACGGCGTGGAGGACGAGCCCGCAGAGCTGCCCGAAGGCTCGTCATTGACTGTGGACAACAAACGCTTCTTCTTCGACGTGGGGTCCAACAAGTACGGCGTGTTTATGAGGGTAAGCGAGGTGAAGCCTACATACCGCAACTCCATCACGGTGCCCTACAAAGTCTGGTCCAAATTTGGGAATACTTTCTGTAAGTACGCCGAGGAGATGAAGAAGATCCAGGAGAAGCAGCGGGAGAAGAGGGCATGCGAGCTGCAGCAGCAGGAGGAGATGCAGGCGGACGATGGAGACGAGGATTGATATAGAGCCGCAAACGAAAATAAATAAAAAAAAATCATGCAAAAGTAATGAAAATAACCAGAGAATTATAATTAAAAACTCTACTGTAAAAAGAAAGAAATCTAAAGATGAAACGGTTTAACTCCAAGGGAGCATCACTCTTAAGAAACCTCCACAAGCCGACAGATGTGACTCATCGCTGGATGTTGCCCCACTTCTCACCATTAAAACAGTAACAGGCTGCTAAACAAAGTAATAACCTTATATTTGAACATTGTTTCCTACTTGACAACGGAGTGTTTATTTCCCTTATTAACAGAACTTTTGTACCAGTTAAAGCTGTTGTAAAAAAAAATAGGAAAAAAAGAGGTTTGCAATGTTCAAATGGAAATATTGTGGAGTTCAGAGAAAGATCGAACACGTTTCCTTTCCATGTGAGCTAATGACGTCAGCACAAATCAGATGTTTTAATTTTTCAACCAAAATTCAAAACTCTTTGTAAAAGACGTGTACTCGCCATCCTATTCACCTTTACCTGTGAGTAGAGATGTGTTTACACGCTGAGGTCATACGAGGGCTAGGCCTGCGTCGGAAACTGGTTAGATGTCATGCAGTATAAAAAGGAATATATAGGCATTTTCATGAAATGAAATAAGTGCTATAATTGTGGTGCAATATGCATTGCATATAAAAAAAATTCTATTAAACCGGGCAAATGGAGTCTCGACGTGATGACCTTTGCCATAGGCATTCAAAGAAGTATAAATATTGTAACTTTTATTTAGTTTTTTGAGTTGAAATCGTTGCCATGCAGATGGATTTATTATAGACTACCTTTGTGTCTCCTTGTCAATGCAATGTGTTCATTTTAAAGGTACTATATGTGTATTTGATAGAGGAAATGCAGTGACAACATGTAGCAAATAGCCTGAATTGCAGATTATTTAACAAGATGCACTCACCCCACAACTTAACTGTGTAATTGGCATCGAGCTAAAGGCAGAGGAGCGTTACCGGTGGCCGATCGTGATCTTGTGTCCGATCGTGATCTTGTTTTATCCTAAAAAGCCCAAATGGTGCCAAGGAGTGCTGTTGCTGCATGTTAACCTGCACTGTCGTAGATTTCATTGGTCTCCCAAATGTATCGAGCCTCAAGGACCCTTCCATTCATATCCTTTATCTGCCTATAACGTGCGAATCTCAAGTTTGAGTACTGAGTGATTCTTTTCCAAAGGCTCGGTTGTTGTCACGTAAACCGTAATCAGCAGAATCGCCATCAGTCAGCGAGGAAGGCGCCTGGCTCGGCCCAGTTTTAGATGGTTTCGTAATCTGCCTGCCGGTGGATGATGAGCGTGGCTGGATCCCTTCGAGCTTCTGGGTGAACTTCTGCGGCTATACTTAAGATTTGTTAGCCCGAATATCTATCTGGGGAGGCTCTGGTAGGGGGTTGTGATCTTCTTTTTGGTCTAATTGTAAATATTTGGGCTGCCACTTGAAAAAACAACTGGTTGTAATCCAGTTTTGTCGCATCTCATAGATGTGTGATAGCAGTTTTATAAACTCTGTCAGTAAACTCCTGAGAAACTGGCAAACAATCAGATTTTTTCCGATTTACCTCAATAATAAATTCAACGATCGCTCCCGTGTTTAGATTGACTGTAAACCAGCAAACTAGACTGTCCTTAACCACATTTTTCTTTTTTTAATTTCATCTGGGAGTGTCTGGCATAATTAACGTGATCGGGAGCGCCCTCTTCAGCATATAAACGACCTGGTGCCTTACACGCTCCGCATGCTTACACGCTGGCCTGGTGCTTTGGATTGCAGTTTGGCTTTCTTCAGTTTCTTCCGTTTTTGCGTCTCAGCCCCCTTCGCGTGCGCTACAGCGCACGACTCGTGGTGCTAAAAAGGGTTCGTTTTGGGCCCTTTAAGGAAAACGGGAGCGGAATTCCTAACTCTTTCTGCTGCCTCCCTTCTTCCCCGACCTCATTGCCATCCTCATCCCTCAGCCATCCAGGTATCGGCCTACATGTAAACATGGAAAGGGGTGGTCACCTCGATGCAAGATGATGCAGAGGAGCACTAGCTAAGCACTTCAGCGGGTAGAGCAGGGGCTGATTTAAGACATCAGTGGTGGCTTCAAACAGGAAAGCCCCGCCTTAAAAGGCTCATGTTCTATCTAGAGTAACTCTGGCAAATGTAATTTGCTCGGTTAGTGGAGAGTAGCAAGCATGTTTTTTGTTTTATGCAATTTTACCTTTTCAGCATTATTCCACATTGTCATTTTGGAATGTTTTTGCCCCCTAAATATAATTTTTCCTCTATGTGCAACATTTCATCACTGTGTGCAATATCACATGTGCCAACGGTGGCAATATATGTATATCAATTAAAATATATGATGACTATTTGAGAGCATGTGGCTGAATTCCATGTTTTCTTTGTCTCATGAAGGAGACGTACGCCTTTATTTGCACTCAAAGCTCTGCCCTGGAGGAAAATTTAGCTCTTTAGTCTTTAGCGGCCTGTTGGGTCTAGCGGTCCACAGGATGTACTATAACTTGAAACAACAATGTCACTGCAAGTTTGCCCCTTTGCAAGGGAAAAAGGGGTTCACTTGGCTCTTTGGGGGTTGGTGAAGGTGGAGATTTTGTGGAAAAAGGAAAAAAAATATATAACAAATGTCCATTTTTAGCTTTAAGCTAAGAAAAGGTGCTTCAGTCCAATCCTCATTCAGATGTGTGGTGAACTGTCTTCAGTGGTTGTGTGTAGCACTTTGTTTCCCAGGTTAACGAGAACGCCTGACCAATACTTGTTTTAAAACCATCTCAGCAAAGAATGTCGTTTATTCTCTCCTGTTGCCTCTTTTCTCGAGAGGTTGTTCTGATCTGCTCACTTTGGGTTTTGATGCATTCAGTATAATTTCTGTACATTTGACAAATTTTAAAAATAAATTTAATTTACCCGGTGAGGGGAAAGACAAAGATATCTGCGTTCAAAATGTTTTCTTTTTTTTTTTTTACTTTCATGTTTCATTTCCTGTTTTGGAAAAAGAAAAAGTTAATTTTGATGTAGTGTTGTCTACAATGTCTGACTACATTTGCTCTGATACTAATGATTAAAGCTTCATTTTACAGCCTCCAAAACGCAAACTTTCCAACAACAATTCTTTGACTCATGTCATGGAAATTTCTAAGTACTGTATGTGAACTAAATGTCAGGCTGTAAAATAAAGCGTGACATTGTTCTCTAAACACACTGATTCATCTTTTTGTTAACATTCATACTAAACATGAGAATATATTAACTAGACTTCTGGTTTGGAGCCTTTACATTATTTTAAGACTCGTCTAATTTGTGTGATTCAGCTAAAACAGATGAGGTCTAACCTGAGCTTTTAAAGCAAAACAATAAAAAAAGTGAAAATAATTTTCGTTTCATCCACCTCAGGTTTGCATCTTATTGCTGTTAAAACAGGATTAAAATCGGATTATAAAATATGGAGATTATAGTCCTAAACTAAAGATTATTTAAGTGGTGTGTGTGTGCGTGCGTGCGTGTGTGTGTGTGTGTTGCCATTTTTATCCAAATGTAACTTGGTGATGTAGCGCTGTGTTGGCAGTGACGTAATCCATTGCGTGGCTGTCTTGTTGTCGCCACCAGAGGACGCTCTCTACCCACTAATGATGTCTCCGCCTGGAGAAGAAGACTGGAACAAAGAATCAGCAGCATGTGGGTGCAGCTGTTTGGCTTTTTAATGATTTATTTATTTACTTACTGGGATTAATTAAAAGAATAATTAAACGTTTCAAAAGATTAGGAATACTCGGCAGAATACAGATTCAGGTAATTGTAAATGTTATGTTCTTAATTGGATGTGATTTGCTTTTAGTTAGTGTTTTAACGGAATGAAAGACGTCACACGTTTTTTTTTTCAAATTAAATAAGGAGAAAACAACTGTTGGTGAGGTTTACGTAATTACACACACTTCCGTTTGGAAATATGAACTTTTGTGTTATTTAATCCTTTTGTCACGTGTGTGTGTGTGTGTGTTATGTACATATGTGGTTATTTGTTTGGGACATTGTTGTTTATTTTATTGTTATTTATTTATTGGTAGCTTCTCTAAACTGATCGTTGGGTGGCAGCCGCCCTCACACACATCTGTGTGGCTGAGGAGTTCATTTATGAGCTCTTTTGTTGTCCAAGTCTTTCTCATGGAAGTGTGAGATGATCAACTTCTGGACTTCCCAGTTTTAAGTGTTGCGCGCGCGTGCGTTTGTGTGCGTGAGGAGGGAGGGAGGGAGTCATGAGGAATGCTGTGATGTCAGCAGCAGCTTGCTCGTACACACAAAGACGAGGAGGACCCGCAGACTCCGAGGCTCTCAGCTCAGTTAGCCTTTTGCTGCGGAGTAGCTGTCTGCATCCTGCTGTGAGTACCGTGTGTGTGTGTGTGTGTGTGTGTGTGTGTGTGTGTGTGTCGGTAGCCATTGTTGAACTTATCTCTGAAACCAGAGCGCTCCTCTCCTCTCATATGTGATCTGGAGGGCCGAGCTCCAGCTGAAGTCTCTGACTCTGATCCTGCTGAGGAGCAGCAGCTGTCGGGTAGAGCTAGAGGGGAGAGGAACATGGGATCTGATTTGTGTGTGTGTGTGTGTGTGTGTGTGTGTGTGTGTGTGTGTGTGTGTGTGTGTGTGTGTGTGTGTGTGTGTGTGTGTGTTCTGAGGAGGGGGAAGGATGACAGAAATAGTCCTGTTCCTTTGGAATCTCCTCACATTCCCGACTCTGCTCCTTGTGTCAGTGGAGAAACAAGCTCTGGGTTCTTCCGTGTTCCAGGAGGGAGAGACCAGATAAACAACCGAGTCAGGAGTGCCTACTGCCTCCAACCTGTGAACAAGTCGGATCAAATTGAGTTTGAATTCCAGGTGTTGTGTGTTTTAAAAGGGCACGACATAATCTCCTAAATGCTGTGTGTTTTTCTTGTAGATCGTCCCAAAGATGGCCTCCAAGTTCAGGGAAAACTGACTTCTCTGCAGGACAGGAAGCAGGACTGTGTGTGATTGGACAGTATGTACACGGACGAGTGAGGGAGCATGGAGCTCGACTTATAGAGAACATCTTTCTGTGAATAAGTAATAAAAAGACGTTAGCATTATGAGACCATAAATCATAAACATCCACCTGAAGAAGCCAAAGGACAGACGCTGCTCCTCCTCCTCCCTCTGACCCCATCACTCAGCCGCCAGGATGCTGCAGCAGATTTTAAACGACATGTACGTCGACCCAGATGTGCTGGATGGTCTCAACGAAGATCAGAAAAAGACTCTGTTCATGAAGATGCGTCAGGAGCAGGTGCGGCGCTGGACGGAGCGGGAGGAGAAGCTGCAGAGAGATGGGGGGGACCTCAAGTCCAAGCCGAGAAAACGTAAGCGACCCGTCACTCTCCATTTATCTGGAGCAACAGGTTGTAGGTTTGGAAGCTATCATGACCGCGCTTTAGACGGGAAGCTATCTGTTCTCCTAGCAGAGCTGCGTTCTGGATCCCTCCAGTCGAGATGTTTGCAGACAGTCCTGTGAAACACCCGGTGGAGCTCTAGACGGGATGGGTGACGCCTGCGTGCCATGGTCGTGACAGATTTCTTACAAGCTGCTGGAGATGCTTTTTGCTGCCGTAGACCATGTTTCCTGTCATCATGGCAGCTGTTCACCAGCTTTTACCACACAAAGCCTAGACAGGAAGTAGTATTTACCTCTTTATATTACGTTGATTATTACCCTCATAGAACCAAACAGAGAACTGACGAGTTACAGATGTTTGGATCAAATCGATCTGACTTGATCTGTAAACCCTCAGATTTGGCCCGTTTCCACCGTCAGAACTTCTGGGTAATTTTAGCGGACCTTTGGGTCATGTGCGTGTCTCTGTTTCCCCGGGCCGGCACAAAAGGACAATTTTTTTGGAGTCATTTCAAGAATATACATGGAGTACCTGAACTGGGGTATATACTCGTAAAAGGCCTTGCAGAATCACTGGGCGGGACTTGTGGATAACCCTTGTTGATTGGTTGTAACTCAGTAGGAAATGACATCAGTAGACGTCACCAAACATTCGGCATTAGTAAAACAGGAAGAAATGTTGGTGAATCAAATTGAAAGGAAAAGAAAACGGCTGTTTCTAAACTCCTAAATCCCCAAAATGTGGTTTACGCACCGTGATTTACGCCGCTTTGAGGTCTCTCAGATCACTGTAAAAAACTGCCTTCTTCTGGTCATTGAACGCCACTCTTTACACGTCAAGGCCTTTCTCCCGGTCCCAAGGATGGATTCAATTATGGCGTACTTTGACAGAATAAAACTTTTAATGTTATTAATGTTGGTGGACGCCTTTTGGCTCCGAGTGACATCACTCACTGCTGAAGCAGTGGCGATATGCTGACGTCTTAGCAAAGTCCTAAAAGAACCAGTTTTGTGTGGACATACATCAGCTGCGAGGACCGAGCCGTCGTATTTTCCCAGTCCCACAAACGTCCCGTAACAAAGAAGAAACTCTGCTTTAGTGTTTTCTGAACAACGCTCTTCTGAGATTATTAGATTTTTTTTTTTAGTTCATCACTCATCAAACGAATCGCGTTGAAGCTATTTTTGCATTTGCCATGGTTGAATGACTGTGGCGGCCATCTTGGATCAGGAAAACTCCAGCATGTTTGTGAGAGTTTCACCCCCTCAGAACAAAGCTGCACCAGCAGCAGACGAAAACATTAACCCGTCAGGCACAATAAGGTTCAATCCCCACAAGAGGGGCAAACACACACACACACACTTTAGAGTTTGTTTATCAGATGCTGGCTTCTGCTCAGCTGGAGCTGAGCGTTATGAAGCAGTCACACAACCAGAGAGTCAGGAAGCGGAGCTGCAGAATGCAGTCTGTCCACATTTCCTCCTCTGTGTTCCACATCAGGGCTGCAGGACTTAACAAAATGTTCCATTCATTTATATTCCCAGACCGGTCTTCTAGGCAGCTAAACAAACCATGAAAGTATCCCATCTGACTGAAAGCTAATTAACAGCACACTCGGCTTGGTGCGTTAACCCTGACTGACGTGGAAACATGAGCCGTCCTCTGTCTGATCACACAGCTCTCACTATTAACCGTGGAGCCGAGTGAGAGAACAGCAGCTCTTCTATCTCCTAATGAGCCGTGCAGCTGTTCTTCCGAGGCTGCAGGAAGACTGCAGGCTGAGATCACATGGTTTTTACTTTTAAAACAAAACAAAGGAAGTGAGTGGAGACTAAATCCTACAAACAGAGCAGAGAGCAAAACGGGAAGTGTTAAAAAATGAGTGTGGCTGGTTTTAGCTCACGTTCAGCTTTCTTGTGGCGTGTAAACTTTCTGTGGGGATGCTGACGTGGTCTTTCTGTTTGGGACTTCTGGTAACTATCTCTGTTTACAGGCAGGATGCTGACAGTCCAGAAGCTTCTGGCTTTGTTTGTCACACACGAGGCGTCGAGTTTGTTTCAGCTTCCAAACATCATTCTGTTCCTCCTCAGTAGCGTCTGATGGCTTTAGAAGTGATGCTAATACATAAAACATGTCCTTGAATGCATCTTAAAGGGACTTGCGTCTGTTGGAAATGGGATTGTGTGTTATGTAAGTCCCTTCCTGAACAGCCTAAGTTTGGAGAAATGATGTGCGTCCCAGCTAGTGGCTGGTTTGAGCCCAGCCAAGATGAAAGGATAATTGTGATGTCTGAAAACAGACCAGCTGTCTGAAGTCGCAGCAGTAGTGAGGTTTCTTTGAACCCTCATCAGTTTCTCATTTGGTGCTTTATTTATTACAGCAGCAGCGACATGTACCTGCTGGATCCAGGGGTCCGCTCCAGCAGAATGTCCTAATCTTTGTGCCAGATTAACGGTGTTATGTGAAAGTTATGGATTAGGAGTGTCCAAAGATCAGTCAGCAGCAGAGCTGAGCCGTCCAGATGGACATCTTTGTTGTGAGGCCTAACAGGAAGAGGAAGTAGAACAAAACAAAGCATTTTTCTTTTAATTTCATGATAAACAGGACCGCAACGTCACAATGACTTTTACTTAAAAGCAGATTAGTGAACGCCTTTCGCTGACGTTAGACTAGAGCAAGAAATAATCTGTTCTTGTTGCTGGCAACGGACCAAAGTGTAAACACCCGACCCAGCTAATCATTTTCTGGTTTTAAATCAAACACGAGACCCATTTAGAATGTTTTTTTAACTGGTAAAAATAAAGAGTCACAATAAAAGCATGTTTTTATTTTCTAACATTTAAAAAAAATCTGAATTTTTTTATTTTTTACCTGAATTAATTTGCAACTAGGGCTATTTTTAGACGCCCTTGCTTTAGCTCATTGATCCTAAAGTACATGAGCTCTGTTGCTCCAGACTGTGGCTGTATTATTATTATTATTATTGTTATTATTATTATTATTAGACCCTATTATTTCTATCTTTTAAGGGGACCGGCCCTCCGAAGGACAGATAAACCCTTTAAAAGTGCATTTTGTTCGTGAGCAGCTTGTGCTCTGACTGCTGCTCCTCGTCTCCGTGTTCGACGCTGCTGCAGGAATGCGACCCACAGGCCCGACTGGTGAAACCAGTTAGTCATGAGTGTTTTTACCCAACATGTTCTCACCCTGTTATCTCCTCTAAGTGACGTCTGAGCCTCCCCAACAGTCACACGGCAGTGACACGTGTTCGTCAGAATGCCTGGCTTTGTGCAGTTAACTCTCACAAAAGGACAGAAAAATCACAGACATGTCTGCTGATTTATCGCGTATTGTGTTGCTGCTGATGGAGCCGGGGGATCAGGGTGAGAGCCATGTCACGGGGCTGAAGTTTAAACTTCCTGTTCTCTCTACATTATGTGTGTGAGGCAAAATGCCTTCCACACAACTCATCTGTGTTGTGCTGCTTAGTCCCAAACAGCTGTTGATTCAATCATCTACCTAAACCGAGATAGAGATCCAATGCACAGCTGATAAGTTGTGAGTGAAAAGGGATAATATCTGAGATCGTCTGTGCAGATACATGGTTAACGAGGGGATTCTACAGCTAGGATTTCAGCCTTTGGGTCAGACTAATGTGCATTTAAAAATATACCCGGAGTGCTGTAGACACGACTTCAGGTGTAAAGTGAAACGTTTTGAGTTCTGTTTCTATTACAATGTCTAGAAATAATGTGAATATTCCTGTTTGCAGGACTTGAATCTCCTTTAGATCATTGACCTTCAGGTTTAAAGAGATCAACAGGTTTAAAACTCACATATATGTGGGAGTAAAATGACCTTTTGGTCAGTCTCATGCAAAATTCCAACATCTTTAACCACTGGTCATCTGATTGTTGCTACTGCAGCGCCACATCTTGCTCAATGTGCAACACCTTTATCTGTGTTTACCAGTGCTGATGAGCTGTAGCAGTTAGCTTGAGTTAGGCTGATGTTTCTCCAGCCGTTGCTCTATTTGTTTTGTTTTAGAAATCCTGTTGTTGTTCAGGTCCAGCTCTGCACTGGCGATGATATAACAGCACGTGTCCTTGTGCACAATGGTCATCTGTCTCTTAACATTAAATTGAACAAGAAACATTAAACCTTTAATTAAAGGTACTGATTTTAGATATGAGTTTCTTTTACTGGAAGGAAAAGATGTTGGCGCTAGTCTGACCTCGCTGCAGGACAAACTCGATGTCTGTTTTGTAAAACAAAAAAATCCTGAATTACTCATCAACTAAAATCCTTAAAGAATCAGTCAGGAAATGTATGAAATCCTGTTGTTCTGGGCTGTTTCCTCCCTGCTATAGAGCATTTGCACCCCACCAGGTGGGGTCGTGCATGGAACCCCAGGTCCAGGGAGATTGTCGGTGATCTTGTATTCAGTTCTGGTTTCATGTTGCTTTAAATTCAGTTTGTTCATGAAGTTTGCGGGTTTGTTTTTTAAAGTGATACACACCAGTGTGTGTGTGTGTGTTTTGACAGCCAACAGTAAGAAAGTGAGCTGGCTGCTCGGCCACGACGGAGACGTCTCAGTCGCCGTGATCGGAGAGGTGGACGAGCTGACCTCTGCGTTCATCTGCACCCGGTCGGTGGCGCTGCAGAGCAACAACGGGTACAAACGCAGTTGTCTTAAACAACTTTGATCTTTCGGCTCGTGATTTCACAAATACGAAGCGCTACCTCTGAATGTGAGGAAAAGACTTGTTCATTTTTACATTTTCCAGCCATCAAAACACCCTGAAGAACAAAACGGCCTCAGAAGTGAGAAGTGAAAGAGAAAGTGTCTCCCAGCAAACACAACCTGAGATCTCCTCTAAAGAGAAGGTTTGTTCATGTTTAACGATTCACTCATTCCTACCAGAAATAAATGTCAAGTTGTTGTTTTTTCATGGTGAATTCTCTATTAGATGGCTTTATTGTTTTATTGCTAACATAAACATATTTGTTGGGTAAAGATAATTAAAGTTGCATGTTGTGATGTGAAATAAAAAGATTGAGAATCAACAGAATGAATTTTCTGAGTCACTAAATCTGATAAAAGCCAACATTCTCCCTGATGGCTAATCCAGTAAGAAGTTGTCTCCAGGAGTGTCTGATGTGTAGGCTGGTGATATTTTAGCTGTTTGTGTTGGTGTTAGTGTGTTGAGTGGGTTTGTGTGTAGGGGGAATATGTTCTTTTTTTCTTTCACACCATCTCTAAAAGAGATTTGCTGTGTTGCTACGGCAACTGTGCACACGGTGAGTCTGAGCCAGAGCCAGCCTGGGTGGATGGTCTCATCTGGCCCGAGCCGAGCTGCGTGATGTTCCAGCGGAAACGGGAGCCTCCCAGATGCTCCGCTGCTTTTCCTGCTGATGAATGTTATTCTGATCATTTTAAATGATAAATCAAATCTTCTCATAATCTTAGTCCAGCTTAAGCTGCTGTGTTGGCTCTTAGTTAAGGTGGGTGACATTTGACCTCTGGTGTGTTTGAGCAGGGACAAAATGAGGAAGAGGAGAGCACCTTACTCCCTCTGGTGGTGAATTGGAGCTACTGCGATTGTGTGTGTGTGTGTGTGTGTGTGTGTGTGTGTGTGTGTGTGTGTGTGTGTGTGTGTGTGTGTGTGTGTGTGTGTGTGTGTGTGTGTTTCATCATGGCTGAATCTCACTGGCGTCTCTGTTAAACCCACAGGTGTCAGCAGCTGAGGGTCCAGCACCTACAGAAGCAACAAAGGTAGTTTTAATCAAACCAAATCTGAATTTTTTTATTGTGATTTTATTTTATTTATAGAACTTGTAGTTTGAATTCTAAACGGTTTGCAAGGCAGAAAAAGCAGCTTGTTTTATTATAGGAGCTTGTTTGAGTGTCTGTGTCTTTCCATGGCGGTCCCACCCTCTGTAACAGGAAATGTGGGCTAAAGCCAGCTGTCCCCTCATGTCCAACCCCTCTGCAGATCATCTTTCTCTCAGCTTTCCCCTCTCTGTGTTCGCTTGGATGGACTGACTCACCCTTCGTGGCTCGCCCTTATGGGGGACAGCTGAGCGTAACTGTCCTCCCACCAGCTCCATTATCTGTCCAGACTCTCTCTCTCTCTCTCTCTCTCTCTCTCTCTCTCTCTCTCTCTCTCTCTGTCTGTCTGTCTGTCTGTCTGTCTGTCTCTCTCTCTCTCTCTCTCTCTCTCTCTCTGTCTGTCTGTCTGTCTGTCTGTCTGTCTGTCTGTCTCTCTCTCTCTGTCTGTCTGTCTGTCTGTCTCTCTCTCTCTCTCTCTCTCTCTCTCTCTCTCTCTCTCTCCCCCTCCCTCCCCATGCGTGTGTTTAGGTGCATATAAGTGTGTGTGTACAGGTGATACATTCTGTGCACCAACAGCTGAATCACAGAGGCAAGGCAGGATTTCAGGCCTGCCCTAGAACAGATGGTTGATGAACTTGATTGGGGAATTAAAACGCCAGAGACGGAGAGTGCGTCTGTCGCAGATGGATGGGATTGTGGAAACGCATCCCGAGGTTTGGGAGCGTGCTCTCCTCTCCTCTGTTTCTGCTGCTTCTTTGCCACAGAAGGAAACGTCTCCCCCACATATCCTGTAAATCCATACCAGCCTGTTCATATTACAACCCCCCCCCCCCCCACACACACACACACACACACAGATCCCTTGCTGATGTGGCATTGAACAGTTTATAAACCTCTCCTGACGATCACTCCGCTGGAGATCGTGCCTGTAGATGGATTTGCTTGAGTCGGGAAGAGGCTTGGTTGGTGCATCTAAGTTTTCCTCCAGCTGATTCTGTGTGGGATGGATGGATGGAGCCGCCCTGCAGGAGGAGGGGGAAAACTGCTGATTAGGAAGGCGTAAGATCAGGATGGAACATTAGCAAGGCCACTCGTGGTTCAAGTCAACTACTAATTTTCCACCCGCGCATCTGTAAACTCCTAATCAGCGGTCATAGTTGTGTGTGTGTCTCATTACACACGGCGCCATTAGTGGAGAACTGTAATTTACCGACTCATTGCTCTGATTTGATCACACGTGACAGTGATTCTTGATGGTTGTCAGCACTGACGGTTCTCCTGTCTGTTTCACTCTGCAGCGCGACCCGATGGCAGCCGAGGAGAAGTCCGCTCCCCAGGCCTCCATCTGCTCCAGGTCCTCCACGAGAGGCGGTTCCGTCATGGTGAGACCGGCTTCTGCTAACCCGACTCTAGGCTGTGTCAACACGAGGCCCGGCATCTCAAATCCCAGGCTGGCGACCGCTGCGCCGCCCTCCTCTTCCTCCAGCAGCACCGTCAAATCAAACTCAGCGTCGCCCGCCAAAGGTGGTCAGGGCTCTAAGGAGCCCCCAAAGCCTCACGAGGCACAGGACAGGACAGGTGAGTGAGCAAGGAGGTGAAGCATGGGTCATGTGTCAGAGAAGGAGTCCTTCCTTCAGTCATCAGATAAACGAAGCCAAGAGAAGTCCTAAAGTAGAATCCCCGTAAAGAGATTGTGTTTGTAGGTACGTTCTGGAACAGCCTCTGTTAGAGTAAATACAGATTTCCTTTAATTGTTTGATGAGCGACTAGTTTTAGCCCAACCAGCACCAGCGTATTTAGCTGCCATCCTAAAATACTCTAATCGTTGAAATGTTCATCAGATTTCAGATTCAGATTTCAGATTTATTGGCCAAGTAAAAGTACATTTACAAGGAATTTGTCTTCGGTAGATGTTCGCTCTCTAAAACATACAACAACCACAATAAATGAGAATAAAAATACCTAAAAACACATAAGAACATGTATACCCACACACATGTTCATTTACACACACACATATATACACACACACACACACAAACACACGCACGCACGCCTACACATCCATAAGCATACTGAATAAGTATTAAAAACTATAATAAAAGGATGGTAAAATAATCTACAGATTCAGGAGAGACATGTCTGAAGGAAAGAAACTGTTCTTGTGTCTGGTAGTTTTTGTGTACAGCGATCTAAAGCGTCTGCCAGATGGGAGGAGATGGAAGAGAGTAGATGCAGGATGTGTGGCATCTTGGACAATATTCACTGCCTTCATGCTCCGTTATTCTATAAACTTTTACATCGTCGTCCGTTTCAAAACACAGAATTATTTCCATTATTTACAAGCATGAATCACAACAGCAGCAGTGAAAAAAGAACTCGTCCGAGGATCAAACTCTACAGGAAAATCTTTGTTTTTCAGCCATAATATCTCTACGTAATGCAGTAATGACTCGTGCATGAAGGCTTATGAAATAAAATCAGCATCCACCGCTGGGACAGTTTGGAGATTCGAGCTGTTTTATGACTGCAGCTATGAACTCATCAGTCCTGTAGCCCTTATGCACAGAATCACGCTCCGAAAGAGCCAACCGTTCTTTAAACTGCAGATAGGGATTTTATTTGGTTGCCTTTAGGGAAGTCTTGAACACGGATGGCGCCGCAGCCACCGAGCCAAGGAGGAGAAATCCTTTCTCTGCTTCCCCTATAAGAGAAATAATGGCTGAGCAGAAGCAGACTGAACAAAGTTCACAGCAGACAGGGGGAGCGATTTATTTCCTCCAACCCTATATGCTGGCCAAATAGTGCCTCAGCCTGCAGGAATCTTTATGGACTGGCAGACTGGGGTGTGTGTGTGTGTGTGTGTGTGTGTGTGTGTGTGGGGTGGGGGGGGGCTAAAGGAGACACAAGTAGCCACACCACCCACTCCTCAAATGAAGAAAAGGGAGATCATTTAGAGTTTCTGGTCATTAGACCACCATGGACTACGTTTACATGCAGCCAATATCCGGGTTAAGGTCGGTATTCGGGTTTCTGAGTTGATCAGAATAACCCGTTTACAAGCATACATAGAAAGAGTTACCCCTAACTTGCATAACTCGATTTAAATGCGGGCGTTGGGGTAGTGTCAGGACGTATGGACTACGTCCAGACGCAATATGCCTCATTTCCGGTTCTTCTTGTTCCGGTATCCATGAAAACAACATCTTTCCCAGTTCGGAAGAGATAGCGACCGCGTTTGTTTGTGCTTTAATTTCTTTGTCACTACAAAAGTGTGGAGCTGTACCGCGACTCGCCATGTTGCTCCCAACTTGTTTACTTCCGGAGTTCTGGCGCATACAAGACGTCTCGCTACTCAAAAGACCAAGATTCCTTGCGAACAGAGCATGCGCAGAACACACGCTTTGATGGGGAAATCCCGATATGCGTTTACACGACCAAGCATTCGGGTTAGAAAAGGGTTACCCCAGGTGTAGTAACCGGGTTTTTAAAATCCCGGTTATGAGCATATCCGGGTTTTTGGCGGTGTTTACACGGACCTGCGGAACCGGGTTATTGTGAATATTCGGGTTTTAAAAGGGTTACTGGCTGCATGTAAACGCACTGATTGATGTTTGAGCTATGCTTTAGCATCTACATGGTTTTCTAAATAGCCTGAGTTAGAATTATGTCCTCTGAATCAGCATGAAAAATTCTTCCCTTGTTTTCTGCATTAGCTTCTGATGGAAAATAAGACGGGAAAACACTCGGATTAGAGAAGTCCTGACAGGTCTACGTCACACTGGGATACTAGGCAGGTTTGATATCTTTTAGCACCCTTTAGTGTCGCACGCACGCACACACACACACACACACACACACACACACACACACACACACACACACACACACACACACACACACACACACACTTACTTGAGAACTACAGTAGAAGTGTATCACTTTTTAGGCTCTTTCCAGGCTGATTTAGGGGGTTTAGAATGGCCTGTATCAGGGCTCCTGGGACCGATGAAAGCCAAAAGAAAATGTCTTATGCTTCTTGGAGATTCAAAGCAGTGTTTTAGATTGCTTTAATCTAACAGCTGAACAGTCTCCTTAGCCTTCATTAATTTCTACAGGAGTGATTCATCACTAAATCAAACAAATCAGCTGTGTTCATGATCTAAAACATGCAGGAAATGTTCTGGAAGCAGAGCGGAGGGGTCTGAGTAACATTTCATTAAACTTGTGAAGGATCATTTAGCTCATACTGGCTCAAGCAAATTCTTTAAAAATATGAATAAGTTGCATCTCTTTAACAGTCATGATTCACCCATCTTGACGTGACAGGGAAGGCTGTTGTTGGTTTAGTGTCCAAGAAACAACAGAGAACGTCTCAGCTAGTAGACACTAACGTTTGCATTAGCAACTCCACCACATGGCAGAACTCCTCCAGGCTTGTGTTCTTTGTGGAGATAAAACCTCAGCGTTGCAAAGCAAACAGTCAGTGGTTAGAGTTGTGTTGCTGTTAGTCAATCAGAGGACAGATGTCAAAACATCTGGAAGTAAGACTCCAAATCCTTGATTTTTGCAAGGCGTCTCAGGTGAAAGAAACTGGACTGGATCACAGAGTTGATGTGAGCATCAAATTTAAGTCCAGCATCAACTTTCACCCTCAAACTGGTGACGACTTGTTTTGAGTAGGGAGAAAGAGGGCCAAGATCAACATAATGACCCACATTCCTGCTGGTGGGGTGAAAAACGATGAGCTCTGTCTTTCCCTCATTCAGATGCAGATAGTTGGCCATTAGCCAAGACTTCACCTCGTTAATACAAGACACAAAGGACTGGATAGAGTGACCTTTCTCCTGACACAATGGAGAGTAAATCTGGCAATCGTCAGCATAGAGATGTAATGATAGGCAATGTTTACGAATGATTGACCCCAGAGGAAGCTGATAAATGGTAAACAAAAGAGGACCAAGGATCGATCCCTGCGGGACCCCCCAGCGGAGTCCCTCCCAAGAAGAAAAAACATCACCCAGTTTAACACAGAATGTCCTGTTGTGGAGATACGATCTAAACCAGTCCAGAGCAGACCCTTTGATCCCAACCCATCGTTCCAAGCGATCGAGTAGAATCGCGTGGTCAACTGTGTCGAAGGCTGCTGTCAGGTCTAACAACAGAAGCACCACAGAAGTTCCCTGATCTAGTGAAAGATAGATGTCATTTAGGACCCTCAGTAGAGCTGACTCTGTGCTATGGCCAGACCTGAACCCTGATTGGAAAAACTCAAACAGATCAGAGTCAGCTAAATGTGAGACCAGCTGCTGATAAACGACTTTCTCAAGCAGTTTAGATGTAAAGGGCAGGGTAGAGATAGGCCTGTAATTTTCTACCACAGAGACATCAGCACCAGGTTTCTTCAGGGTCGGCCGAACAACTGCTGCTTTCAAAGCAGCTGGGACCACACCTGTGCTGAGGCTCCCATTGATAATCCGACCAAGTGATGGGCCAAGACACGGAAAGGCAGCCTTCCAGAGATGAGGTGGCAGAACATCAAGTGGAGAGCCAGATGGCTTCTGCCTTGCAACAAGCTTACTCAGCTCAGAGTATGAAACAGTATTGAGGGAGCTCAGGGTGGGTGGTGATGGAGGAACTGGAACAGGGTCAACAGAGTTACCAGAAATAGCTGCTCTAATGCCCGATACTTTATGAACAAAGAATCTGTGAAAATCTTCAGAGTTTCCAGCAGCTGTCGGAGACATGGAGCTAGGCTCCTGATACACCAGTATCTGAATTCTAGTAGTGTTTTGTAGAGCATCTTGGGATTCTTGGAGTTTGTTTCATTGAAACGGGAGTGCCAGAGCTTTATTTCCACAGAGAACGTCTCACCAGGCATTAATTTATACTAGAAACTACTACCATCCCTGTGCTCCCCCCCCCCTCCCATCCCTTACTCCTGTTCCTTCCATTCCTCCCTACTGCAGGTGGATTGAACAACCATATGTCATTCATGTTCCTTCAAAAATCCACATTTACGATCTTTTAAACATTCTTATTTTGTCCCAATAAAACAAAAATCTTCATATATGTGAACTTTTCAGACAATTGAGTCATTAACTGAACCCCAAAAACAAATGATATGAAATTATTTTTGTTCTTTTTTTAAAACAACAGGAAACAAGTTTTCCTTTTTCTAAAAGTCTACATTTAATATTAAGTATCTTTACTACGGTAACTTCATTCTTACTCCAAACAAAAATTCTGCTTGGATTTAAAAAGTCGTTCCTGGTGGTTTTCAGGTTATGTTGGAACCCAGTTTTAATGATGGATCTTCACTGGCCCCCTTCGTATGAACTGGGGAAGTTAGCACCATCCAGTGGAAGATAATGTTATGGTAGAGGAAAAGTCAAGTTAGTGGGAAAATCTCATCTCCATCAGGTCCCTCTGCTGGAAAACGGCTCTTCCTGCAGCTTATTTTCTCCTCCTGCTGCAACGCTGCAGCTCAGTCAGCATCGGTTTCACATCCAAGTTAATGTTCTTATGTTTAGTTCATCTGTTAGATAAACAAACATTAACTAGTCGTGTCAAAGAAACGGACAGAAATCAGATGAGCCCATTACTGGAGAACGATAGTTTACGCTGCAGGTTCTGGTTTGTGTTCTTCTGCAGGCTGAATAAAAGCACAAGAGAATAAAACGAGAGCAGGTTTATGCATACTGCACAAGCAACGTTAATCAGATGTGTTTTGACTCACGAGCGACTGGGTGTTCTGGTGCCAGGGTGGAGAGGATCAGACCAGTGTGAGGAAGAGGAAGAGAGGAGGAGAAAGAACAGCTGAAATGGGTCGGACATGGGTCTGTCCTCGACAATGGCAGGAAGCGGAGAGCCTGGGGAGGAGGAGACGAACTTAGACTCAGCTGTTTTCATTTGAATCAGGCTGATGACAAGAATTCCTCTGTCCTGTTTCCCGTGCTGTCATTGACCAGTACTCACTGGAACCTGGAGCCGGTTTCAGATCTCATCTAGGAAATGAAACCATTTTTATTCCCTCCATCACTATTTGGGATTAGTAAAGCCTCGCAAACATAAAAATGAAACAGTTTTCAAACAAATTATGGCTCAAAGGTCAAAACAATGTTTCTTTGATTAAAATAAAAATGTAGGAAAGTAAAGTTGGGTCTTCCAGAAACTGAGATGCTGAGCAGAGTAAAACGTTTTTAAGCAGATGCAGAATCTCTTTTTATATCTATTGTTTTTTAAGTGTTGCCCAGAAATAAAAGCTCAAATCTATGAATTCTATCTCTTCATAACAGACCCATAAATCAGTCAGATATTAAAATCATTCATCAAATATTTTTATCTCAAATTATCTTAAAAACTTGTGACATCAGCAAAAAATGGCACCTGGAGAAGTGTGTGTGTGTGTGTGTGTGTGTGTGTGTGTGTGTGTGTGCGTGCGTGCGTGCGTGTGTGTGTGTGTGTGTGTGTGTGTGTGCGCGCGCGCGCTCGTCCGGGTTTCCTCACCTGGGAAGGATGAATATTCCAGTGCAGCTTCCCAGTTCTGGCTCTTGGTGACGCTCAGCCAGAGCAGATAAGTGACCGAAGCCCCAACCCCCACAATCAATCCAGCCACCACGTTCACACACACACACACACACACACACACACACACACACACACACACACACACACACACACACACACACACCTGTCCTCCTCCCTGCCTGTCAGTCCACAAATGTGTGGCTCAAGAATTCTGCCCTCTGCCCCCCTCCCTCCACCTTTTCCACCCAACCCCGCTTCTTTTCCAGTCGGACATCAGGGGATTTTTTTTTAAAAGTGTATTTTTTTTTGTGCTGGTTGCTCATTGGACCTGGTTCCTGCTTCTTTCGTTTTGTTTTCCGTGTACGTTTACTTTGTGCAGGGCTGAAATGTGATGATCATTCCTGAAAAGATCAAACGGAAAATTCATTAATTGATTGTAGAGATTGGCGGAGAACAGGATGCAGCTGCTGAGGAGGGTTTAGGCAGAAAGGTGTGGAGTTCAGGGATGGTTTGGGTGTGTTAGGACAGGTTAGTCAGGTTACCTGTGGGAAGGATTGCTTCAGAATTCCCCCTCGGTGCCCATAACTCCTGTCCTCCTCCTCCTCCTCCTCCTCCTTCTCCCTCTCCTCTCTCTTATTAAGCATTCCACTCAGAGCTGCACCGAGGCTTCTCGGCTTAAAAAAACTCTGACCGTAAGTGTGTTTGTGCCTTTGTGTGCATCTGGGTGTGTGTCTGTGAGTAAGTGCGTGGCTGAATGTGTGTCAGCCTCAATTGCTGGAGCCTATCCAAGGTTTCCGTGGTGACCGCACAACACAACGAGACAATCAGAGGCAAGCCCACGCAGTGCGGCGAGAGGACATTAACACAGGAACTACAGGTCAGGGGGCAAAGGAAGGCAGGGCAAGACACGCAGGGAGGAAGATGAGGAAGGTAGAGAGAGGTGATGGAAGTGTGAGGGGAAGAGAAAGCCAGAGGAAGAAAAAGGGATAAATAACAACAACAAACAATGAAATAAACCTTCTGCCTCTCACCCCAGTTTTAAAGGTTTCCTGTGCCCAGGTGTGTATGTGTGTGAGTGTGTGTGCGTGTGTGAAAGAGAGAGAACTCCCTTGGTGTTGGTCAGAGATGGCAGCATGCTTGACTGAATCTCTCAACAGGAGATGTGTGTGCGTGCGTGCGTGCGAGCGAGCGAGCGAGAGAGAGAGAGAGAGAGAGAGAGAGAGCGCGAGAGAGCATGCACCGACCTGAAGAATATGCATGTCTGTGTAAATCCAACTGTTAGCAACAGTGTGTGTGTGTGTGTGTGTGTGTGTGTGTGTGTGTGTGTGTGTGTGTGTGTGTGTGTGTGTGTGTGTGTGTGTGTGTGTGTGTGTTGTGTTGTGAGAGCTCGTGCGTCTGTAGCCATGCACACGGGTGCTCTCACATATCTCTGTCCCTCGGGTATAACGCTAAAAATATGTGGCTCCTCAAGCCTTCTGGTGTCTGAGCAGCGTCTGTCTGCTCTCCGTTGCCATCCCTGTGCCCCCCCCCCCCCCCCCCCATCCCTTACTCCTGTTCCTTCCATTCCTCCCTCAATTACACCCTCTTGCAAACGCAGCGCCCCAGCACGCACGCACACACACACACACCAACTATGCCTAGCTGTGCCCCTGCTACACCTCCACAGAGGATGACCTCTGCTCACCCAGAGCTGGATGATTGGAGGCGGATGGGGAAAAACAGGGAAGATGTGATCTGGAACAGCACTGGGCTCAGTAGTGAATCATCTAGGTGTATATGTATTTTGTTTCTGGCACAGATTGTGCCATCATGGTTAGATCAACGAGAAGACTGGTTAAATTCCCGTTTCACTTTCTTGTGTTAACTCGGCTCTCCCACTGGTCCCGGTGGGATTGGGATGATGCCCCGGAACGGAGTCTGTGCCCATGTCCAGCTGATCAATGCTTGAAATGGCTGAGACCTCTTGTTACTGCATTATGAGACAAAGACACAACCAGTGATGAGTTTTGACTCTGGAAAGCTAGTCAGGATGATGAAACCCAGCTGTCGTTTTAATGAAAATGTTAAAGTTTAGATACCGATGCTGCTTTTCTTCTGATTTCAGGCTTCGACATGACTCCAACAGCTAACCTTCCACATGAATCATTACCTGTGTGTGGTGGGGATAGCTCTCAGCTACTAACACACCAGTTACATTCGTTTTCTAATATTAACGAGTTGTATCAGCCATCTTGAATCTGATTGGCTCCGGAAGTACGTCACTAGTAAACGTGCATCTAATGATGACTTGGGGAGGATTTTGTTCAAATCCGCCCAGTGCTTCACTGGATATTTCACATACCCACCGAACAAATGACACACGAGCTGATCGCCATCAGAAATAATCTAGATGTGTTCATACGAGCCACATTAGACCTTCTAAGTCGATCTCACCTCGTCTCTTGTAGGTGTCGGTGCATCAGGGACGTCTCAAAGGCCTGACTCGGCAGACTCTGGGACGCCGGGGACCACACCGGCCTGTGCGGGACGCGGCCGTGTGGCTCAGCTGATGAAAACCTTTAGCGGAGACACACCGACACAAACCACTGCTCGTGGCATCAAACCTCCCCTCCCCACCAAACCCAGCCACTTACGTTTAACGACCAGGTAATCCTAAAGAGGAACCGACAGACTCGCCTACAAGTGTCCTTCTGCTTGAATTAGGCCACGCAGGACGCCATCAGACACATCCAGTCCGAAAACTCCAGAAGCCTCTGTGTTGTTTTTATCCAGAAGCATCCTGAAGGAAATGATTGAATGTAAGACTGTTTTTTTTATGCTGCAGTACTGTAAACCGCTGTTTTTGGGTAAGAAAATCTAAAGCAATCAATGGTATTTAAATATTTGGTAAGAAGCATAGTTCACCTTGAGGTTTAACACTTTTAACAAAAATGTATTCTGACGTGTGGTACCACTGCAAAATAAATCAAACCTTACTAGAAGTTAATAAATATGTTAGTAATTTAGGCGCAAAGTCTTTGTAAATCGTTAATTAACATGCAGGATCAGTATTTTGTTAGATTAAGCTCTGTGTTTAATCCGTGTTGTAATTTAATCTGGCGGGTTTTCCTTTTCCACTCATCCCAGTAAAGCTACATTGTTGCGTATCGATCAGTTTTTGCACTTTTCAAAGACATTTCTGTGGAACTCTTGTGAACTGTAAACAATCTACCTGCATTTGCTTTTGAACGACCTCAGTTTGGAGAAAAAGGAGCGTTGGCCAGATTGATAAGCTAACGGCTAGTTACAGCAGGGCCATTGCAGCCATTTTAAAATGACTTTAAAATGTTTCCGTGGATCGTGTGTAAACCGTTTCCTTCCTAGTTCTGTTAACTTTGCATTCTGAGATATTTATCAGGTTTCAGTCGGCACCTGTAGCTCTTCTAGTTGGAGTTTCATAAACGTTCCTACAGAATAACTGAAATGCAAAACTACCGGCTCTGTAAGGTTTAGCATTAGTTGTTTAGAGAGAGCAGAAATCCACTTTGGCATGCGTTCTGCTATGACTGGCTGTAAATCTTCTTTTTAGATCAGATAATCACTGTTTCTCTAAACTTAGGTTGTTCTAAAAGCTATCTACAACATGTTCACAGAATACAGTGTAGATGATGAGGAAGGAGCAAATAGGCTCACTCTTTTGGCCTTTTGTATTGAAATGCTCTGATTGTTACTGTTTTTTGGAGTTTTTGCAGCTTAATATTAAACATTCATGAACCTTTTGTTAGGGTTGTTTATTATAAAGTGGTGCCCGTAATTTAATGAATTCTAAAACATTTGCATCAGCGCCTACACTTCCTGTTCCTTTCCTCTTGCTTTTGTGTTTTTGAACAAACAAAGGGCACGATCAGGCATGAAGGAGGTGAGAGTCGGTGCAGAAAGATCCTCCCTTATGCTGCCTTCTCTTCCCGGGGAATCATGTCGGCTCGTTTATTTGTCACAGTGCAGTGTCGGTGTCCCTCTGCCACCTGGCAAGAGTCTCGCTGCGACCTGCTGTGGACCAATGACAGCACCAAACACTCACATGTCACTCCCAGGGGATCAAATCCTGGCGAGTCAGACAGTCGCTGCCAAATAATCCAGATCTGTGCTACTGTTTTTGTTGTTTTTTTTTGTTTTATTTTTGTGCTATGTTCGAGGTATGTTATTGGATAATCTTTCTTTTTCTACCTGGAGACGTGTTTTGTTACGGGATGTCTGTATTTGTGCAGTGCTCTTTTGTAAAATCTTCATCTTTCATGTTGAGATAAAATGGCACAGTCAAATAAACAATAAAAAATGTTTTGCAGTTTATTTGTTTTTTTAGGTTAACTTAAATTTAGTCCTGAAGTCTTATTAAAGCATAACGAACACAAAAAAAATGAAACCAAAAACATAATTGCCTTATTGCCCACATGAATACATGAATGATTGGTGTGGATATTAAAGGGTTTAAACCATTTTAAATGTAAAAGCTCATTTTGCTCTCATCGGCTTCATCATGTAAACTGGTTATTTTAAGGATGTGCTTCACTGCTAATCCATGCATTAGAAGTGGATTCTAGTAGGATTGAATGCCTTGTAAGTCGTGTGGCGGGGAGCAAAGATGTACCTGTTCAGGAAGTAGACCCAGTTCCAATACTTACACTGCACCCTACAGTCCTCAGCGAAGTGCACTTGGAGGAAGTGCACATTAAGACAGTGGGTGTTTCTCAATGTCAAGAAACCTCGCCTTGATGTCTTGGTCACGCCCCGGTTGCCTAGGAGATACGTCATCAGGAACCGCCAAGGCATGTTCCAATCTTCATGTTCTTTCGAGGCATCTGTCCTCTGTTAGCCGTTTAGCTAACTGACCAAGGATATATGTGAGGTGACTTGATGCCTTCTCTTGGTCAAAAATTTCCCAAAATACTTTCAAAAGGATGGTAAATAGCCTGTATTTTACATAAGAGTCCTAGGACCCCCCAAGGCACTTTACAACACAGTCATTCGCACACTGATGGTGATGAGCTATGATGTAGCCACAGCTGCCCTGGGGTGCACTGACAGAGGCGAGGCTGCCGAGTACAGGTGCCACCAGTCCCTTCGAGCACCACCAGCTGGCAAGAGGGCCAATTTGATTCGTATCTCGACACTACCAGCGATACGATACGTTAACAATACGGCGAAACCCTCTGCTGATACGATTCAATAAGATTCATCCCTGCTCACGATTCATTAATAAATTGACAACAATGTTTGATTGGATACAATTCAACGCATTAAAAAGAATTTACAAGCGTCACAATGTGTTCCCCTTCTGTGAAGGATGTATTTGATGCTCTATCTTTTTTTTCCAATTATTCAATAAATTCAACATGAAAACACACGCACTTCGTCAGTGATGTGTAATATCCTCAGACATCTCTTATTTAGGATTGACAGGCTCACCACTCCGTTACTCAGAGGCTTCTTTATTAGAGCCGCTCTGGGTACCACATTCCATGTCACACACCTGTCCGTGCGTTATATCCATCCTACCTAAACAACCTTTTTTATTCTTACATCTGCTCTTGTTACATGATGTTTATAATTTACTGATTTTGTTGGTTTAATCAGTTAGGTAGATTACAGGCTTGTCTTGAAGACATAATAAAATTGGATGACTCTAAACTTTCCTCGTTAAAATCAAGACAAGACCGAAGTTCTCATCTTTGAACCCGAAATTCAGAAAAGGGAATTGCTTAGTCAACCACCTGACCTGAATGGCATATTAGTCTCAGAAAACAAAATAAGGAACCTTGGTGTTGTCTTTGACCAGGACATGTCATTCAAATCCCACATTAAACAGGTTTGTAGGATTTCCTTTTTACACCTTTAGAATATTGTTAAGATTAGAAGCATCCTTTCCAGGAGTGATGCTGAAAAATGGTTCAGGCATTTATTACAAAAGAAAAGAGAGATCATACCTCTCCTGTCTTAGCTTCCCTACATTGGCTGCCTGTTAAATTCAGAATAGATTTTGAGATCCTCCTCCTCACATATAAAGCTCTCAATAATCAAGCTCCATCATACATCAGTGACCTGATTGTTCCATATGTTCCTAACCGAGCACTTCGCTCTCAGACTGCAGGTTTACTGGTGGTTCCCAGAATATCTCAAAATAGGATGGGAGGCAGATCTTTTAGCTATCAGGCTCCTCCATCCATCTATCCATCTTCTTAACCCGCTTTGTCCATGCAGGGGGGAGGCGGGGGGGGGGGGGGGGGGGGGGTTCCGCCTATCTCCAGCAGTCAATGGGCAAGTAGGTGGGGTACACCCTGGACAGAGAGCCAGTCCATCGCAGGCTATCAGGCTCCTCTCTTGTCGAAACCAGCCCCCAGCTTTAGACCAGCTCCCAACTTTAGTCCGTGAGGCAGACACCTTGTCTACTTTTAAGACTAGGCTTAAAATATTTTTTATTTGATAGGGCCTATGGTTAAAATCTGATATTAGCCCAGATCTGGACAAGTGGGGGAGTAGGAGGAGGTGGAGTGTACAGTCAGTTAAAACGGCTCTCCCTTGCCCTGCCTCCAACATGCCTCCATCTAAAAGATTAGGTTAGCCAGAGTTATCTCTGTAGTTATGCTGCTATAGGCTTACCCCGGGTTTCCACAGGAGCCGTCAGCAGCACGTTACTGCAGCAGTACGTCTTGCTCGCGTAAGCTGCTGCTTGGCCCTTCCCACGAGACGCGAAGCAGCAGGGGAGCAGCTGTCACCGACAGAGCACGAAGTCACACGAGTGACTTTGTCAGTAAACACAACAACAAGCAGGAGAAAACTACAACATGGTTTGTGTTTTATGTTCTGTCTGTTTTATAATCGCCAATATGGACCTGAAAAACAAAGGAGACCGCTAGCTAGATGATAACTTCTCACGGGGCCGCACAGTTAGTAACATTTTTTAAAAGTAAAGCAACCGGAAGGCAGCACGTTCTTTATTCTGAAAATCTCGGGAGCTTCTCTCCATTTCCGCGTCCGATTTCCTGTCTTTCCTTCCCCAAAAATGTCGAACTTGACCCGTTTCAGAGGCGTCGCGCGTAGGAAATAGAACCGGCGCGTAAAGGCCGCGACATGCTGCTCCTGAGACGCGGCCGACTCGCGCTGCTGACGGCTGCTGACGGCTCCTGTGGAAAAGGTTCTGTTGACCACAGCCGTTCCTATCAGCAGCTATGACGTGCTGCTGCAGTAACGTGCTGCTGACGGCTGCTGTGGAAAGCCGGGGTTAGACTGCTGGAGGACACACTGGCCACTTTCCACACTCGACTACTTTCTTCTACAATTTGCTCATTAACTGTATTATTTCCTGCAATTTTTGATGTTAACTTTATTTTTTCTCTTAGTGTTTTTCTCCACAGAAGAAGCTACAATGATGTTCTGCTGAGCTGTGGTGCCCTCATGGAGGGGGCCATCGGCTTGAACACTGCTGCTAACCACTTAAACATTTTCCCTCTCCTGATAATAAAATTTTACTTTCTTTGACAATGAATGTGCTACTACTAGTTTACCCGTTTAATTATAGAATCACTAGGATAAATACAATAAAGTTTATCTCTCACCAAATATAATTTTTATGAAGAAATCACAATGTAACCATAGAAACACTACTTGGTATATATGTTGTATTGTGTGTGTGTGTGTGTGTGTGTGTGTGTGTGTGTGTGTGTGTGCGTGCGTGCGTGCGTGCATGCGTGTGTGTGTGTGAGTGTGTCTGCTCTGTCTTCTTCATCCCCAGTGAGTCATGGAGGACGGCTGCTTATACTGAGCCAGGATCCTCTGGAGGTTTCTCCCTGTTAAAAGGGAGTTTTCCTCTCCGCTGTCGCTAAATGCTTGCTTAGTATGAGGATTGCTGTAAAGTCTCTGACACTAGTCAGTGACTCAGTGCAATTTGATTGGGTTAGGGTTAGAGATGGAGGTCATCTTCCCCAGCATCCTCCTTTCACACATCCCCTCAGGTGAATCCAGTGGGCATCCCAGAACCAAGCTAGCTTTGCTAACTAGCTTGTTCAGTCTCTTCCTGTCTCGGTCAGAGCTGCCTGCACCCCAGCAGACCACAGCTGAGTGGATAACAGAGCCAACCACAGTGAAAGAAGGATTTTAGCAGCTGGGATTAAACTCCGAAGGACCTCAGCCTCCTCAGGAGGTGGAGGCGGTTTTGGCCCTTCTTGTACAGAGCATCTGTGTTGTTGGACCAGTTGAGTTTGCTGTTGAGGTGAACACACAGGAATTTAAAGGTATCCACGACCTCAATGTCTCCTCCCTGGATGTTAACTGGTTAGTGAGGACTGGAAGTCAATCACCATTTCCTTTGTCTTACTGGTGTTCAAGTGAAGGTGGTTACGCTCACACCTGTCCACGAGTCCATGATGACTGACCTGTACTCCTGGTCATTCCCCTTAAACACACAGCTGACAATGGCCGAATCATCAGAGAACTTCTGGATAAATAAGTAAAAAGGCTCGTTATACATTTATATTGAAAAAATATACATATGAAATATACCTTTACCCCATGTGTCAGCGATCTTTGACAACTTTCAATTATTTGACAAAATAAACATTTGTTGCTGTTAAATCTCTTCAAAGCATTGAAAAAAATAACTGTCTTAAAATAAACGTAAAAACTGAGAAAATGATGAAAAATTGGTTCTAATATTGAAGATTTGATTTTCCATAAACGTTACAAATGTTTTTGTTTTTTTCCTGACCAGAAGGGGGAAAATGATCTTTTTCATTTTTAATCTTAACCTTTATTGTTGACTCTGCAGTCTGTAAAATTGCACTGAATGATTTTGAAACATTACTGGCATGTCCTGTCCAAAAATAGACACCAGACCTGTTATCAGTCCACTTATCTGGGGTCGGCCTAAGCAGGGAGACCCAGACTTCCCTCTCCCCAGCCACTTGGGTCAGCTCCTCCTGGGGAATCCCAAGACATTCAATGGCCAGCCGGGAGACAAAGTCCCTCCAGCATGTCCTGGAGAAACATTTACTTGTCATCATATATGTACACAACAATAAAATATTCAATATTCCAATATTTATACTTGAAAATACATGTCTTCAGAAAGGGCACTTGAGCCATTGCTCTGCCTTCTTCTCAACATTCCCATGCAGCAATGGATTGCGGACAATACTCTTTGCATTGACATGGACTTCAGCAAAGTGCGAATAAAGAGTGCAAAGAGGGTGTGGCCAAGGTCTGCACCTTAGAAATGGGACACCCTAAGAACTTGCACCCCTAGATGGGAAGCCTTGTGGATGTGGAAGTGCGAGTATTGGGAC